TGAGGGGTGCGATCCCGTTGCCGGTCCCCGCCCGGGACGGGCGCGACCCTGAGGGTTGCGATCCGTTGCCGGTCACGAAAAAAGACAAAAAGACAAAAAAAAAAAAAAGAAGAAGGTACCTAGAGTCCAACCACTCTTTATATAGATGTTCAACTAATCACCCTTGTCTCCTGGCTCATGTCTCACTCACGCTTCCCATGGTACCTGTTGCCTTCAAGTTCTAAACTTTTCTGGGGCTCTGTGTGGCAAATTGGCTTTCTTCTCTTTGACATTTTCCCTGGCAGGCACTTAGGTTATTACCTAATCTGTTCAGCTACAGAAGTTACTGCTCCTCCATCTGCTTCCCCTCTATCATAATAGATATTGATTTCTCACATTTGCTTTAGTTTCCTGATTTTTGTTTGTCTGCTTTTAGTTTTTGTCCTTGTAAGTTTATGCCTATTTTTATTCCTTTACTGCTATTTTCATGTTATTGTGGGAGGGAAGGGAGATAGACACATGAAGGCAATATGCTTGTGTTTAACTGGAGTCTAACAATTCTGCTGATGATATTTAAATAGTACCATTAATCAAGAAGGAAGGAAAGAAGATGAGAAACTAATATTTGTTGTTTGTTTATTACATGCCACATACAAGTTCACAAAAACCTTAACTAGTAGGTATCATCTCCATTTTTCTGATAAGGATTCTGAAATGCAGAAAATTTAAGTAGTACATTAGCAGTTATAAACAGTGAGTGAAGAAGCAGTCTTGTATTCAAACCTGGGTTTTTCCAGGCCCTAAATATGTCACAGGAATCATTAAGGTCATTTTTTTCCCACTAAAATGCAGCCAGATTAGAAATGTAGAGTTAAAGGGCATTTATCTACTTCCTTATGCTCAGCACAATGCTGGTAAGACAAGTACATACCTTTCTCAACCCATTGCTCAAAATCAACTGGCTCTTTAGATGTGCTCTTTTCAATCCTCATGGTCCGCACTGACGTAAATAAAAGAAAAATAAAGGTTAATTACCTACCTGATTCCATGTTGTTGTCCCTACATTTCTTTGTCTCTCTGTCCGAGACTTCATGCATTGGTGGGACTACACAGAGTACTGGGATCAGGAACACCATGTTCTGGAAGTTACTCACTTACTCTATAAGTCCCTATGGTAAAATGCAGTCTTATGTAACTGTAATCTTACAAATATTTGTAACCATACATCACAGAGCTAGTAGAGCTTTTTTGAATTTGGTCTCATCCAGATTATTTTTGCATACTAGTGATAGTGATAGTACTATTGGTGGTCTTGGTCATAAACCCTCATGGAGAACCCATTCCATTCATTCTTGACTACAATCTCATAAAAAGGTATTATTAACACACATTACAGATGAGAAAACAGAGAAGCCAGGCAACATGTTTAATGATATAAAGCTGCTAAATGCCAGAACTGAAATTAAAACTTTTGGTCTGACTCAAGAGTCTCTACAATTAATGACAGAAGAGAGACTTATCAGAAATGCAGTCACCTTGGGGCCAGCCCATGGCTCACTCGGGAGAGTGCGGTGCTGATAACACCAAGGCTGAGGGTTCGGATCCTATATAGGGATGGCTGATTAGCTCACTGGCTGAGAGTGGTGCTGACAACACCAAGCTAAGGGTGTTAAGATCCCCTTACCGGTCATCTTTTAAAAAAAAAAAGAAAGAAAGAAAGAAAGAAATGCAGTCATCTTCCTTCTGCACTGTTTTTTTTCTCCACTGTCCCAACCCAGTTCCTGCTACCCCACATCTGTCCCTCCCCTTCTCTGTCCTGTTCTGTGCCCTGAGGGCTGACCTCTGTGGACTACATCACCTGGACTCACTTACCCACTGGCTTCTGGTTGGATTTAGCCATTGGGAGGCACCAGGAAGAAACTACAGCTGTGGGGAAGTGAAATCAGGATATTTCATCTCCACTCTCTCCCTGCTTTAGAGCCACATCTTTGACATTGGTTATGTCTCTTCATGACTACAGCTCTTGCCAGCAGGCCCTTCTGCACAGGCTCCAGCTCTCACTGGGCTCTGATAACACTATTTCCTTCCCTTGTTCTAGGGGCAGTAACGGCTTCCTGCTATAACTAGTTTCTGAGGACTTCATCATCCCTTATTTGTTCCCTTAACCCACACCATAATTTTGTAAGTAGCCCCATCAATAAAGCCTCTTCCTTTGAACTATCTGGGATGTATTCTGTTTCCTGCCACTACATTGTCTGATACACTTTATCCTTAAATAAACAAAGATACAATTAGAATGATGTTCCAATGGGAGATTCTCCTCCTAAATCCCTCAGAAAATGCCATTAGTAATAGACGAATCAAAACTATCCAATGTGAATAATCAGGATTGTCAGATTTTCAGCAAGAATTTGGCAGAGAACCCCAGGCCTAATGAATCTAAAATAAAGATGTCATGGAACCTAATGTTCTGGCAAGCTGGCTTCTTATGTTCATAATAGGGCCTTTTGCCAAAAACTTTCACATAATAAAATGCATGGAAATTTTTATGTGCTTTGGAAGGATTTCAAATTTGGAGTTTCAGACAGGCTAATTGTTAACTATAATCCTACTTCCCACCCCAGCAATAAAAATGGATTCCATGCTGTAAAAAAAACTAACGTTTTGCCAAAATTTTACATACATGCCCTGTGCCTATGAAAAAATTAAAGGATGATGAAAATTAATACATAATTTGCTTACCAAAGTAACTCTGGATTACAAGCTTTTCAATCTTTACATGTTTGTGGAAACAAATAATGAACTCCTGGGGAAACATTCCTGTGGTGGTCCAAAATGTTTCTGGACTCCTATTGTTAAGTTTAAAGAAAAGAGAAAAGGAATAAGCAAATATAAATGGTTAATTATAAAATTCTAATAAATAAGTATTTTTTAAAAATTAACAACTACCGGGGCCAGCCCGTGGCTCACTTGGGAGAGTGTGGTGCTGATAACATGAAGGCCATGGGTTTGAATCCCCATAGAGGGATGGCTGGTTAGCTCACTTGAGAGAGCGTGGTGCTGACAACACCAAGTCAAGGGTTAAAATCCTCTTACCGGTCATCTTTTAAAAATAAATAAATAAGGGCCGGCCCGGTGGCGCACTGCTATAGTGCGCCGCTTGGGAAGCGCGGTGGCGCTCCTGCCGAGGGTTCGGATCCCACATACAGACCGGCCGCTCACTGGCTGAGTGAGGGGCGGGAGCAACACTGAGGGTTGCGATCCTGTGGCCGGTCCCGGTCCGGTACGGGCACAACACTGAGGGTTGCGATCCGTTGCCGGTCACGAAAAAACACAAAAAGGAAAAAAAAAATAAAAATAAAAATAAATAAATAAATAAAAATTAACAACTACTAGATTCTTGCAACACCTTTCTGTTAATTCTGCTTCTAATATCTCCCCAACTTTAATACTTCTTTACTACTACCACGTGTTTTTTCTTTTCTTTTTTTTTTGGTGGCTGGCAGGTAAGGGAATCTGAACCTATAATGTACTACTACCATACATCCCTTTCTAAAACAGAAACATAGAATCAGTGTCACTCCTGTCTAAAAACCTTCAGTGGACCCTTATTGCCTATACATCTAAACTCCTCAGTATGGCATTTAAGACTCTGTACAATCTGGTTTCATCATTAAGGTTTATTGTCTCCCATCACTATACTACCTACCATCACCATAGTCACATTGGGCCACTCAAAATTCTGCAAACATGTCATGCAGGCTCATGCTTCTGTATCTTACAATGAGGTTCTCTTGACTTGAAAAGCCCTTCCTCCCCTTGCAAAAGTTTATTCACTTTTTGGTCCCAACTCTCCAACTTCAACAAATCGGAATCACTTCCGTCCTCCTTTGCACTTGCTTCATACTCAGCATAGATTTCTACACTGGCAGAACATATGATTTTCGGGCTCCTACTAGATGCTGAGCTCTTTCAGCTCAGCCACTTTCTGTTACTCATCTTTGTATTCCTAGCAACTACCACAATGGCTAACCCATAGTAGATGTGTGATAAATGTTTGAGAAAAATTAAAATATGCACTCAATTTCAAGTCCTAGATGTGTGCATGTGCACACACATATATAGGACTTAAAATGGAGTGCATATATATAAAAAATAGTATATAGTATATATGGTAGTGACTACAGAAATAATCATTTCTATTTTCGTGTGTGTGTGTGGCTGGCCGGTCTGGGGAGCAAACTCTGGACTTTGGTGTTATTGGCACCATGCTCTAACCAACTAAGCTAACCAGCCAGCCCAATCATTTCTATTTTAACTATATAAGCTTTTTTCTGTCTTTTTTAGAGTTAAAATTTCCTACAGTGAAATTTACCTCAAGTGTATAACTTAATGAGTTTTGATAAATGTATATATGCCAATACCCCAATCAAGACATGGAACATTTCCATGACTCCAAAAATTTCCTTTATCTTTCCTTCCAGACAATCCCCACCTCCCTTATGCAACCACTGCTCTAATTTCCATCACTATGGACTATGCCACAATGTTTTTATTCATTCTTTTGTTTGATATTTTTGTTGGATATATGGATTGCTTCCAGCTTTTGACTATTATTAATAAAACTTTTATAAACATTCTGGTACAAGTGTTTTTACAGGTACATTTTCATTTCTCATGGGTAATTACTAGGTAATTATGCTGGGCCATACAGTAGAAGTATATTTAACTTTATAAAAAACAGATTTCCAAAGTGGTTACACTATTTTACACTCCCACCAGCAATGTAAGAGAGTTCCAATTGCTCCACATCCTTGCCAACATTTGCTGTTTTCAATTTTAGCCATTCTAGTAAATGTGAAATGATGTCCTACTATGGTTTTAATTTGTATTTCCCTGATAACTAATAATGCTAAGTACTTTTTTCATGTGTTTTGGCCATTCATATATTTTCTTTTGTGAAGTGTCTGTTAAGTATGTTCTCACTGTTTTTACTAAACTCTTCTTATGTTTACCATATATTTGTAGGAGTCCTTTGTTAATATATGTATTATGAATATTTTCTCCCAGTCTATTTGCCTTTTCATTTTCTTAATTGTGTCTTTCAATGGGAAGAAGTTTTATTTTTGATGAAGTACAGTTTTATTACTTTTTTCTCTTATGCTTAATGGTTTTTATGTCTTCCCTAAGAAATCTTTTTGCCTACCTCAATGTCACAAAGGTATTTTCTTATATTTCCTTCTAGAAGCTTAATAATTTTAGCTCTGAGGTGAGATCTATGGTCCATTTTGAATTAATTTTTGTGCTCAGTATGAGGTACGGGTCAAGGTTCATTTTTATCCATATGTTTATTCAGATGTCCCAGCACCATTTGTTAAAAAGACTTTCCTTTTCCTGCTGGAACTGCCTTGGTGTCTTTGTCTAAAATCAAACACATTTTTGTTGAAAATTAACCTCATATAACCTTATAAATGTGGATTTATTTCTGGATTCTCTATTCTGTTCCATTGATCTTTACAAAAATGCCACCCTGTTTTGATTACTATATATTTGATTATTGCTAAGTCTTGAAATCAGATGATATAAGTACTCCAACTTTCTTCCTTTTCATTTTAACTAGTCTAGGTTTTTGCATTTCCACATACATTTCAGAATTAATTTGTTAATTTCTTTGTAAAAGTATATTGAAATTTTAATTTGGATTGTATTGAATCTATAGATCAATTTAGGGAGAAGCTGGCATCTTAACAATATTGAGTTTTCCAATCATGAATGTACTCTATCTCTTCACTTATTTAGTTCTTTATTATATTAAAATATAGTTTTCTCAGCAACATTTATAGTTTTCAATATAAAAGTCTTACGTCTTATTAAATTTATTCTTAACTATTTTATGTTTTGAATGCTATTGTAAACATTACTACTAACATCCTACTAATACAAGTATATAGCAAAACATTTGATTCTTTGTATATTGACCTTGCTAAATTCACTTATTAGCTCTAGAAGTTCATTTTTGGAGACTCCTTAGGGTTTTCTGTGAAAATGTTCATATAATCTGTGAACACAGACAGTTTTACTCCTTTCCTGTCTTTACATCTTTATGTCTTTTCTTTCCTTACTGCACTGGCTAAGATCTCTAAGAAAACATTGAATAGAAATGGTGAAAGCAAACATTTTTGTTTTGTTTCCAATCTTAGGGTGAAAGCATTTACTATTTCACCATTAAGCTGAAAGATTTTAATAGATGCCTTTATCAGACTGAGAAAGTTCTCTTCTTAGTTTGCTGAGAATTGTCACCATGAATGGACACTGAATTCTATCAAATGCTTTTTCTGTACCTATTGAGATGATCATATGACTATTCTCCCTTGTTCTGGTAATGTGGTGAATTACACTCAATCTTGTATTCCTGGATAATGTGGTAAATGTGCCAGCCTTGCATTTGCAGGATAAACTCCATTTGTTGGACTCTATAATGTTTTGTTATGGATTTTTGTGTCTATATTCATAAAGGATATTGGTCTCTAATTTTCTTCCTTGTAATGTCTTTGTCAGGTTTTGATATTAGGATTATGCTCTTCTCATTAAAACAATTTGGGAAATGTTTCCTTCTCCATTTTTGAAAGAGTTTGTGAAAGACTGGAATTTGTTCTCTAAATATTTGATAGAATTTAATTTCTATAATAGATATAGGCTGTTCAGATTTTCTGTTTCATCTCTCATCATTTTTATAGGTTGAATTTTTCAAGAAATCTGTCCATTTCATCTAAGTTGTTAAATTTATTAGCTTAAATTTGTTCCTTATATTGACTTACTGTTTCTTTAGTGATATTACTTCTTTAATTCCTGGTACTGGTAAATTGTATTTTCTGTGTTTCTTTCTTGGTTAATCTTGCTAGATGTTTATAACTTTTTTTAATCCTTTCAAATAATCAACTTTTGGTTTTGTCAATTTTTTCTAGTTGTCTATTTCCCATTTCGCTGATTTCTGCTCTTATCTTTATTATTTATTTTCTTCTATTTTCTTTGGGTTTAATTTGCTCTTCTTTTTCTAGCTTCCTAAAGTGAAAATTTAGAGTACTGGTTTTAAAAATTGTTTTTATTTACTTATTTTTATTTATTTTTAATTTATTTTTTTAAAAGATGACCGGTAAGGGGACCCCAACCTTTGACTTGGTGTTGTCAGCACCATGCTCTCCCAAGTGAGCTAACAAGCTATCCTATATAGGGACTTGAACCTGTGGCCTTGGCGCTACCAGCACCAGTCTCTCCCAAGTGAGCCATGGGCCGGCCCAAAAAATTCTTGTTTTTAAATATAAGTATTCAGGGTTGGCCAGTTAGCTCAGGTGGTTAGAGCTGGTAAGGGGACCCCAACCTTTGACTTGGTGTTGTCAGCACCATGCTCTCCCAAGTGAGCTAACAAGCTATCCTATATAGGGATTTGAACCTGTGGCCTTGGCGCTACCAGCACCAGTCTCTCCCAAGTGAGCCATGGGCCGGCCCCAAAAATTCTTGTTTTTAAATATAAGTATTCAGGGTTGGCCAGTTAGCTCAGGTGGTTAGAGCATGGTATTAATAACACCAAGGTCCAGGGTTTGATCCCTGAAATGTTGTGGAAATGAACTCAGCAAGGAAGCAGCCTCAAACACTCAGAAGGTTGGAGACCCAGATGTGTATTACACTAGTGAGACCAGATGGGCTCGGGCCCTGAAATCCTGGTCCCCAAACCTAGATCTGACAAGGCTTTTTATAGGCGGACTGTTCCAAGGCTCTTTACACATTTTTTTTTCTTTTCTCAGCCGTTTAGCTAGCATATGCAGTTGTGCAGATAAGCTCTTGTTACAAA